TTTTCAGTTGTTAGTGTGTGTGGACCTGATCATGGATATCAATTATCAAGAAGTTTATTATAATGAAAGTGCTTTGACATGAACTTCACTGTATAAATTAGAAAATGAAGAGTTTGTTTGATTCAATATATTTGATAGCAGTTGTGATCAAGCATTTCATGATTTAATTTTTGCTGTTAAAAGGTTACTATATAGTTTCAGATTTCTTTTTAGTTCCGCTTCGTAGATGTTTGGGGCAACAGTGTTAGCAATTGTTCAATACCACTTCCAATTTAATTTGTTTATACTAATTCAATGTTATCGTGGCCACATACAGCTTTCGGGATTCATGAAAGTTTTATACAAACTAAATTATGTCCTTTTTTTTTCAATTCCCTTCTTCTGCAGGAGTAATGTAAGCGACTTCGCCAGAGTATCAAATGTGGACTCATCAGAAGGCTGACTGTGGTAGTTATGATAGCACTTCTATCTTTACTTTTAGCCTAGCAAGTTGATATTTCTTATGAGATGATATGTTTGGTCTGTAGGGTGAGATCTTGACAAGACAACCGAAATACAGGCAACCAGAGTCAATGATGTATGCTCATCTTTTCCCTTAACTTTTGCAAATTGCTTAGTTTGTGAATGATTAAAGTTGGGTAATATGATCTGGATCCCCTATTTTTGCAAGGGTAATGTTTCCTATGATATTTTGGTAGTTGAGACTTGAGAGAGATGCATGCCTAGCTGGTATGGAGTATTGTAATATAATTTCTCTTGATATTTTTCTGTGTGTATTAGTGTTATACAACTTAAGAACAAATTAGAAGGGGGAGGTGTAGACCTAGGAAAACTTGGAAGGAAACAATAAAAAGTGATTTAAAATATTTAAATTTGAATGAGGATATGTGTTTTGATCGAGCACAATGGCAACATGTGATTCATATAGCAGACCCCACTTAGGTGGGATTTTAACGGCTTGTTATTGTTGTGTTGTAATTGTGTTATACAAGTTATGGTTCAATGAAGAAATGCAAGTCACTCGTTCTTTTTGGGAGGGTTGTGTCACTTCTCTTCTTTTTTGCCGTAATTAGAAGTGTTGAAGAAGACTTCGGTTGATAAATTCCCTCTGGTTTTCAAGTTACCTTGCATGTTGCGACTCTATCACTAGAAACCAGCTATTTTATGGTCTTTTTTGTCCTTGCATAGCTTTATTTGCACCTGCTTGTAAGCAGCTCATTATAATTAGGTTATATTGATATTGTGCTCCCCTAGTTTAGTAACTCCAAGTTCATAAATCATCTCCAGACATAGAATAGCCTAAGTTAGACGTCGTTGAGAGTGCAAAATGAGCACATGGGATAAGCATTGTCTTGGATGCCTTTGCCTCATCAGAATTAATACCGAGAGCCATTTCTCACTTTTCTTTTATATAGTGCCTTGTAATAACTAGGCCAACAAACGTCGTGGGTTAAATCATTACATCTCATATGCAGCTAACATCTGATATTTTTCTGATGCATATTGTCTTATTGTTTTATATGCAGTGGCTGGAATCAGAGACCTTGAGGCTGAGTCATCTACGTGATCGAGCGAGTGATTTAGGCCGTCGAAAGATGATCTTTTTCCATTAGTGTGGATATATCTCTACTTTTATGAGGCTCCATATTGGCAGAGCCATGTACATGTAAAAAGATGATCATTTATTGTGTTTTTAATCATCATTGACAGGGTTAGCTTATAGAAACATATATAAGGAACAGTTAAAAACAGGCAACAATTGTTTGCAGGGTCTGAATAGAGAAATAATACATCACGAAATCAACAAATCTAAACGTAAAGAAAGTTGTTTGTGAGCAGGAAAGCAGATGTATTCATTTGAACGAGAACTTCATTACATACTTCAACTTCAATGATTTCCAACTCTCGATTTTCACACATCTGTAAACCAAAGATGTAAAAGTATTTAATGACAAACAATTTCTAGCAAGAAATAATTGAAATTAAGTAATCAATGTTTATAATAAAACAAATAAAATGGTTTATAAAATAATTTTTGAAATCCCACAAATTGTTCATACGATTTGAAAAACATTTTTGGATGTATCTATTGTTTCTGAGATCCCATAAACTGTGTTTCTTGTGATTCAAAACAAGTTTTTTGGACAAAAAATCGATTTCTTGTCCATAAATTGGATTTTTAGTCCCAGAAATCGATTTCTGGGACAGAAATTGATTTCTTGAAATAGATTTCTTTCCAAGAAATAGATTTCTGACCAGAAATCGATTTCTGGGTTAGAAATCGATTTCTAGACAAGAAACGAGACTATCCAGAAATCAATTTCTAGGTCGGAAATGTGATTTCTGGGTCAGAAATCGATTTCCGGGTCAGAAATCGATTTCTAGGACAAGAAACGAGACTGTCCAGAAATCGATTTCTGGGTCGGAAATGTGATTTCTGGGTCAGAAATCGATTTCTGGGTCAGAAATCTATTTCTAGACAAGAAACGAGACTATCCAGAAATCGATTTCTGGGTCGGAAATGTGATTTTTGGGTAAGAAATCGATTTCCGGGTCAGAAATCGATTTCTAGGACAAGAAACGAGACTGTCCAGAAATCGATTTCTGGATCGGAAGTGTGATTTCTGGGTCAGAAATCGATTTCTGGGCCCAGAAATCATTCAATTTATCCAAGAAATCTATTCTATATTTTTTTTCCATATTCATTTTATCAATTTGAATAATATATATGTGCCCCATTAAAAAGAAGATAAATTATAACAATACCTTTACACTAATATTCCGAGATATCACCGGAATGTTTTCGGAATGAATATAGAGGTTTTTTTTTAAAAGAGAATGATTTTTTTTTTTTTGTGTTGATATTAATGAAAAGAGTGAATGAAGTTAGTTGAAATGTAAGAGAGAAGAGAGATGAATTTTTTTTTAAAATAAATTGATATTAAGGGTATTTTAGTCTTTTTATGTGCCAAAATGGCTAAAAAAGATGTTTTTTTGAAACTATGGCTAAAATTTGTGTTAGCCATTTCAACATGGCTAAAAAAAAAATTCACTGTTCTTACCTAGTATGTATTTCTGACTTCCAACCTGTAGAGTAGGTTCTGTTCAAGTCAACCCAAAAAAAACAGATGGGAACTTCTTAATTCGACTGCTATTCTTCAAATGTTTTTGATGATTACTAACCTTACTCAGAAAAGGTCAGCCTTTAGCACTTGTTAACCGAGTCAAGACGGCCTTAAGATCACATACACAACTGCCCAGGCACCTCAACTTATGCCAATCAAGACCAATTAGTGAATATAGTATGCCCTGTTATAGAATTTCTAGGCATGTTGATTTGTTTTCTGCCTAGCTGTAACAATTCATTTTGGTGTTCCTGTTTTTCCTGGCCCCAATTGCCCTAACTAAAACATTCCATCTTTGTCCTTTTGGTTACTAAATTTGTTTTACTAAAGTTTACTCGTATCCATTAAAAATGAAATCCTTGGTCAATTTATTGTGATTTTTTTTCACACTAACAAAAAACTTGTCCAATAACACATACACACAGACGACGAAGACAGACTCGTCCGAGCAATCAACCAGTACCGGACATCCTTAAACCTCACAGCCCTTAACCACAACGAGCGGGCTGAATGTCTCGCGAGTGAACTCGCAGACGAGTTCAGAGGCCAACCGTGCACAAACACCACGGGCTCCAACACCATCCCAGGCGCCGAGTCTCAGTTTCCCAACTTCCCGAGGCTCCTGACCGAATGCCACCTCAACTCAACCACCATAAGGGATGGGCAGATACTGCATGCATGCGTACCCGGCCTGGACCCAGCTGTTGTTCTGTCGAATTTTACCAGGTCTCAGTACGCAGTCTATCTGAACGGGACCCAGTACACCGGGATTGGGGCAGGGTCGGAAGATAACTGGATTGTTGTTGTCCTTACCACGAACACGAGTACAGGGGATTACACGCCCGGTACAAATGTGGGCAATACGGCGCCTGGTACCAATGTGGGTAATAGAGCGCCCGGTACCAATGTGGATAATGGGGCACGCGGGCTTGGTGGGGCCGGTTATTTGGTGGTGTTGATTCTTGGGCTTTTCATGTTGTTATAGATTGGGTGGATGAGTATACAGATGTGGCGGCATGACAACTTTTATGTGTTTTTCATGGTGAGATGTGTTTATATGTATCCTGTTGTAGATGGTTTTGTATCACTTTTGGGACTCAATAATTATATCTCGGTTTTGTTAGTTAATGTATCTTTTGCCTTTCTCATTAGATTTGTTACTCATTTTTCTTGCTGAATGGTGTAGCAATAGGGAGTTTGATGTTTATCTTATATTCTTAGGACTTGTTTGCTTTACAAGATGGGATGGAATAAGAGCACGATCCTGAGTCAATCCGGTGTTTGTAATCACGGATCTAAGACTCACGGTTCATTCTCACTTTTGGGAACCTCAAAAACCTGAATATGTTATATGAAGGAGTCTGTGGGACTTGGTGTTTTGGAGACCACAAAACGTATAAATAATCCCATCTGCGTTCACTCTTATGCTCATCTGTACTTTCCATCAAAGCAAATTTATCGCCGAAGTTGGCGATTTTCGGGATTAGGGTTCTAAATATTAAAACGCGAGAATTTCAGTTTAGGGGGGAAGAATTATGATACCTCACATTTTATTGGCAGGTGTACACAACCACGTCGGATGTATGTGGCCAGCGTGTGAAAAAAAAAAGTCATATGTGCGGGACGTGGCTTTTCGGGCCGCAAATCGTAAGTACAACAACGAAAAAGTCCTATTTATGATATTTTGTAAAAGCTGTAGGACTATTCATGTTTTCACTATTCCGTCGAGATGAAAAATGGCACCCACTATATATGTGTTACTAGTTTGAATTTTTCTCATTTTGGTGTAAGTTGCAAGACTAAATCACCAATTTTTCATGCAATATTATGTTTAACTCACATGATTTGTTTGACAATTTTTAATGTTCTATAATTTAAACCGAACTATAAAATTTTTCATATAAACATTTGCTACCGATGAAGTTGGGATAAATACGTTGTTGTTGTTATGAATACTAAGAAAATAAAGAACACAAATGTAGAAACCGAAGATAAATTTTTTTTCTTCGTTCTCTTCTCTTTTAATGTATTTTTGTGTGTGTATGTACAATGAAATTAACATGTATTTATAGGCATAAATTTGCCCACCACTATTGACAATCTTGTACCAATTTTACTATTCATAGTCTAATTAGTTCAAATTACTATTCATAGTCTAATTAGTACAAATTAGACTAATGTTAGTCCATAATCCATAATACTCCCCCTTGGACTAACAATTATAAAATGTGAGTTTATGTTGCCTCATTAAAAACCTTATTCAGAAAAACCCAGTGGGAAAAAAACCGATATAAGGGAAAAAGAGTACAGCCTCACAAGCTCCCCCCTCGAGTTATCAACTTTGCAAATCTCGAAGATGTCTCATTCCAATGTTATGGACATGTTTGCGAAACATTGTAGTTGGAAGCGCTTTTGTAAATAAATCTGCTGCATTATCACTTGATCGGATGTATTGAACTTTGATTTGTTTTTTCCTTTCAAGCTCTTGAGTGTATGAGAAGGACTTTGGAGGGATATGTTTGGTTCTGTCACTCTTAATGTATCCTTCTCTGGTTTGAGCGACACATGCTGCATTGTCTTCAAATATATCTTGTGACCATCAGGTATCGTTGCTTTAGCATGTCAGGAAACCCGGTGGGACAAAACATGATCATTATGGAATCACAATATTTCTCCTCAAGAAAACCCGGTTGGACAAAACCTGATCATTATGGAGGCACAACATTTCTCCCCCCTCAAATAGATCATCTTTAGTGGAGTATCCATGTGCTGCCTCATTAAAACCTTGTCAAGAAAACCCAGTGGGAAAAAAACTTGATCGAAGGAAAAAGAGTACAGCTACTCCAGTCTTTTCTCATCATCATGAGGAATCACATCAATTATCCAGTATTCATCATTATACCATGAATATGTCTCGTTAAAAACCTTATTAGGAAAAACCCAGTGGGACAAAATCCTAATGAAGGAAAAGAAGTACACTATTCATGTGAATATGCCATCCATGTTGCCTCATTAAAAACCTTGCTAGGAAAACCCAATGGGACAAAACCTCAGCCAAGGGAAAAAGAGTACAACGCGTATTCCATATATTCATCATAATAACCCATCCATAATTTTCATGAATATCATATAGATTCATTCATATTTTTCGATACTGGTGGTATTTATGATAATATGCCATATCATGCTTTTGTGCAACTTTCATTTTTAAACTCATTCTCATCATCAATCGATTTCAATGGTCTTACTGCAAATAGTTCTCAATATTCACAATTGAGTTGGTTTCATTCTCATCAATATCATTTATATAGCGCTATTCATTTGTTTGTGTCGACACATATTCATTTTCATTATTCCCCGTAATATATTGAGATATCTCATTATCAATTAATTTCATCGATAGTATATATATGCCTCCTTTCATCACTTATTTGGGGAATTTCAATTTGCACAATATCAACGCTTCCATCGTATCTTTCCACCATCATATCATTTCATATATTTAACCACCACCAGTATCATTCAGTTTATGATTTGCACACTTTCAGTGTGATGCATATATCATTTCCAAAATTTCAATAATTGATTCTCCACCTCATCTTAACAGATCCCTGATCTGTATTTTCAGTATTGAGTTTCTTGAGGGGAGTTCATATAATCTCCATTTCGTTCTCGATTTCAACATATAATAGGAGGACTTTGAA